GGGGTGGGTGAGGGTGTGGCCCAGGTGAGGTCGGGGGGAGCACCGCGATGCCATTGAATCGAACACACACACGCGCCATTAATAACGACCCTGCGATAATATCTTGGAAGGCCCTCGCCGGGAGCCTCCAAGTGTGTGTGTGTGTTTGTCTACCATGAGAGGGTGTGTGTCTCCATGAGTGTGAGTGTGTGTGTAGAGGGAGGGTGTGGGAGGGACACTGGGCCCCAGGGTGTGGCGGGCAAGGGCACTCCCGCCGCACATCCAAATTAAACCGAGTCATACAAAATATAGGCCTGGTGAAAAACACAGGCGACGGGTATTACCTACATGCAATCACATATTGCATGGCGCAGCCCACGCCACACAAACACACACACGCGCGCGCGCATTCGTGAGCCGTTCACTTTTATTTTTCTTCTATTTTGCCTTTTTTTTGCCCTTTGCTTTGCTTTATCATTTCCAATCGTTTGAAATAACAGCTGCGGGCGTGTCGCGCGGGGGCGGTGGCAGTCTGCTTTTGCTTCCCCGCGTGCCTTCTCCACCTCCCTTCCACCCTCCAACCCTCCCTCCCCCTCCCCGTCGTCGTCCTATTCAGTTACAATAACATTTCGGACGGATTATCTCGCTTGGTTCGCCGGGGTGTGGAGAGGTGTGTGGGAGTGGCGAGGGGTAACGCAATTACACGCTTGATGCCGGGGCCCAGCGGACCGGACGCGCGCCCCGCCCATCGCATCCCCATCCCCGGGCAGCCACACACGACGACAGGAACCGGAAGGCGGGCTGGTGCGCAATAACACCAATAAAAAGCGCCGTCACCGCTGTGCACAGCCGGCTGCACGGTACGCCGACGCGCCGAGTGGACAGCCGCCGCCGGAACACAACAAGGCTGCGCACGGCGATGTAATTGTACCAATTACCCACCCGCCTCAAAAAAAAATAACAGGACAGAACACTGCCACATGTTTCTTCTACTTTTTGTGTAAACCCTCTCTCTCTCTCTCTCTCTCGGGCGGCTCTTGCGCGGCGCTGAGCTGGTCCTCCCCCCCTTGCTTATGCTTACCTGGTCCGTGGTGTCCGGGTCCTCGGGCAGCTCGGCCACCTGCTGGAACTCGCACGGCGACGAGCACGAGCTGACCGAGTGCGCCTCCGCGCTGCTGAACATGGACTGCTCGTCCAGCGTCGGCGTGGCGTCGCCCTGCGCAGAGCAGAACGGGCACACATTCATCAAAATCCTGACTTACCAAAAAAACGTGTATCAGGGTCCAGGACGCCTTCGGCAACAACATCTCATACTATAACCAATACATATGGTTTTGTTCTTTTTTTGAAAAAGAAA